CCTTTTTTTTTTTCTCCCCCCTCCCCCCCCAGCACGCACCCGGAAGGGTTTCCCTGACACACTGGCTGAGGTGCCCCAGTTCCCCGAGACTGGCCGGGATCACTTCCGGTGGGGAAAGTCCCACCTCTCCGGGGCGAGCCGGGTGGCGCTGGGGCCGCGCCCTGCCGAGCGAGACGGCAGGGGACGGTCTCGGGTCGGGGCCGCGGCCTTGGCAAAGGGCCTCTCGGAGAACCTCCGACGGCCTTCCCTTCCCCGCCCGCAGCCGCAGCTGCTGACAGTCCCACGCCAAACCCGCCGAGGCCCCGCGGCCCGGAGACTCGCGCCGCTGGTTGGCCGGTGCGGGACGGCCGGCAATCATCTGGCCTCCGGGAGAGCGCCCGACATCCCTGGGCTAGAAGGGACCAGGAAAGTAACGCAGCCAAGAAACTTTATTCTCCTCGCTGGTGTTTCTAACACTTGATGTTTCTCTACGAAACGCGTGCGAACTACCCTCAGACTTCACTGTTGCTCTGATTTCGTTTGTGATGTGTCTTACATCGGCGTGCCTGACAAATAATTAAACACACAGTTCTTTTATCATCTGGCAAATCTGCTTGACTCCACCAGCAAATGCCAAAGTCACTCCTTCCTTTCTTATCACAAGGCTCCAAAACAACAGGAGTAGCAACAGACTTTATCTTACAGTAACTCAGCTTTGCCCCTATTTGATTCTAACCACTACACAGCAGGAAGGGTAAGCAGTACTCAGGGAAGAGTCGATTGGAAACTGTTTAGGCCCGCGAGACTAACTGCTTGTAATCTTTCATTAGCTGCACGCGCAGCAGTTTGCATGGCTGGCTCTTCCACGATAAAGTTTGTTTTAACGGTCATCCTTCATAGTCCTTGAAATGCAAAAGGAAAAGACTGGTGTTAAACACTAAGTTTCTATTTTTAGATAAAATTGTTACTTCTTCCATATCTTTCCCTCCGCTAACTTTCTATTTGTATACTTTGTGTCAGATCCACAGAGCCCCAGGGCCAGAAGGCTAGGTTATATTTTAGGCATGTCACTCCTTTTTGATTCAAGCATGCACCCAGAAACCTGAGAAACTCGGTGGCCAGTCGAGTTAAATTGATTCCAAATTCCCTTAGTTGCAAGCCCTCACAGCCAGGCTGTATAAAAAGAGATTTATTACCAAACCCAAACTGGTAGACATTACAAAACAGGCAAATCACGGTCGTGTGAAGTCCCACCGTGTCTTTCGACGAGCATTCCCCAATGTCACTTACAGTATCCAAAGGACAGTTTAGTTCAACTTCTCCTCGGCTCAGGGCTGCTGCAATCTGTCCGGCGAAGTCCCCAGCTCTGGCTCCAGCTGGCCCGAGTCCCGCCTGATATCTGAGGCACTGCCCTCTGCTGGAAGAGGTTGGTCTTTGAGTTAGGAGGCTCCCCCCATAGGTCACTGCTCCTTCCACACTTGCTGTTGCCTGATTTGGAGCTCTGCTGCCCATCTCCCTGTCTAGCTGTCTCCAGACTGTCTGGTGGGATCCACAGCCCTGCACCAGCCCTGCTTGAAACGGAGTCTGGAAATTCCTCTTCTGATCCAGCAATCAGGGTTGAGCAATAGTAGCAAGTCTCTGGTCTATTACTGAACTATCACAAATAGGGAGCTCTCCTTTTTGAGGTTGTCCCACCTGTTGGCAAGTCTCATATCTCTGATCCTGTTGGCCAAAGTGTTTTGGACAGAGTTCTTTAAACGTGCCCCTACCCCCAGTACAGAGTCCTAATGGGTCGCCCTTATCAGCTACAGAGTTGACAAATGTCCCACTCCATCTGAAGCTCCCTCTAAACTTTTTGGGAGCGGGCATCATTGCCGCAGCTACAGTTAGGAAAGCAAACAGTTGGAAGTAGCTTAAATGTCCTTCAGTAGACAATTCAAAAAATAATTTGTGTGTATGTGTATACATTGGCAAAATGGATACTATGCAGCTATGTATTTAAAAGAGAAAAGATTTGGGGCGCCTGGGTGGCTCAGTCGTTAAGCGTCTGCCTTCGGCTCAGGTCATGATCCCGGGGTCCTGGGATCGAGCCCCGCATCGCATCGGGCTCCCTGCTCAGCGGGAAGCCTGCTTCTCCCTCTCCCACTCCCCCTGCTTGTGTTCCCTCTCTCGCTGTCTCTCTCTCTCAAAATAAATAAAATCTTTAAAAATAAATAAAAATAAAAGAGAAAAGATTTGTAAGTGCTGATATGAAAAGAAGGTCAGGGTATGTGATAAGGTTGAAAGAAAGCAAGATACTGAAGAAATATAGAGTTGCTCCCATCGAGGTAAAATATGTGGGAACGTGTGCAAAAATAGTTCCATAGCCATTAAAACCTGAAACGGGTCATGAAGTATCTGTGAGAGGTATTATGAAAGGACTTTCAGTTCTCCACAACATTTTTAATTTTTCAACAGTGATCAGGTGTTATGGGGGAAGGGGGAATAAATAGCATTTTATAATGTTTTTTTAAAGGCAAAAGAGAAGAAAGATGTTGATCATCACTTCCTCAAAAAACAATATCCTGACTGTCTGGGGCTCAGTGGACAGGTCGGCCCAAGTTCAACTCCTGCTGCCTGTTCTGTCCTCCCCAAACATCTCTATACTTAGAAAAGTATTTTCACATACATTATCTCATTAGACTCCAGTTGTTCGCCAGCTTACTTTTATTAGGCAATGAGAGTATAAAAACCAATTAGAAGAGCGCAGCCAGGCAGTTGAGCACCAAGGGCTCGGAACCGAGGCAGACAGGCATTTAACCGGCCGCTTGCCCACATCCTTAGCTGTGGCACCTCAAGCAAGGGATTTCACCTGTCCAAGGCTCGAACTCCTCACCTGTAAAATGGAGCTAACCATTTCATGTGAGAATATAATGAAGTAGTGTATGTAAGATGTTTAGCTCAGTCCCTTGCTCATGACGAACCCTCAGTAAATGCTGGCTATTTGGTTTTTATTTAGAAGACTTTGGGGCACTTGGGTTGCTCATTTGGTTGGGTGTCTGCCTTCGGCTCGGGTCATGGTCCCAGGGTCATGGACTGAGCCCTGAGTCGGACTCCTTGCTCAGCGGACAGCCTGCTTCTCCCTCTCCCTCTTCTGCTCCCCCGCTTGTGTTCTCTCTCTCTGTCAAATAAATAAATAAAATCTTAAAAAAAAAATAAAAGACTTAAACTTTAAAAGAAATCAGCAGAGAGGAAAACAAAACTTTAAAAGCCCAAATATCTCCCAATGGCACAAAAATAATAACTGTGTTACTCTTTCCAAAGATATTTATTGTTAAAAGCTTCTTGTGTTTCAGGGGGAAAATGGGATTTATATGCTAGCATAGCTATCAATCCATCTTCTATATGTATTTTTAAAAAATTATTATAAAAGCAGTCTTACTATACACACTATTCTGCACCTTGCTTTTCTTCACTTACGATATCTCGGTGATTGAAATCATGATTTTGAAACAAAAGGGTACTTACATTTAAAATTCTCTGGTAGACATTGCTAAATTGTCCTTCAGAAAGATCATACCAATTTACATTCCTACCAACACAGCATGACTGTATGTGGTTTTTTGTAACCTCACCATAGGTATTACTAATTTTAGTATTTTACTGTTACTTACTTTAGGGTATTTTCAGGACTAACAAATGCAGGGTAGTAGGATAGCAGGAATTTGGGCTTCAGGATCGGGTAATCCTAGCATTGCCCTTTGCCAGCTAGACGTCTTTTCACTCCCTCGTTTGTTAAGTTGGACGTGGAGAGAGCCGTATCTAGCTCATAAGGCGCCTTGGAAGAATAAATGAGACAATCGATTCAAAGCACTTAGCCTTCCAAACTAACTGCTTAATAAATGTAAACTGCTCACATAACAACTTTCCACTCCCAAGCTTCAAGGCTGGTGGGGGGGAGGGTTAACTTCTCCAGACAGTATGCCCTTGAGATTCAGAACTTTTGTTTTAATTTTGTTTCCAGTGGAGGCTGTTTTGTTTCAGCCTCCACTCGAAAGTAACTATTGCTCAGGCAATCATTTTTAAGGACACAGCTGATTTTTACCATAGTGAAGAAATCTTAGGGTATAAACTATATGCCGAATATGTAAGTTACAGGTACATAATCCTGTTTTATGCAATTAGCTTGGCACAAGTTGAAAGTGCGAGAAAGTTTGCTTTAGGCACCAATTGTTCACTTCCGTGATCCCTCCCTCTCCAGTTTATACCTCCTTCAGCTGCCATCCCTGGAGCCGGGAACAGTTCTGGATCATTTTCCCTCACTTCCACCCTCCCAGGGAGCCCTCCCACCTTCCAGGCCCCGGGAAGAAACCCAAGCTCTGTACTATCTGCGTCCCAGGCGCTTCCCTCTCTTTGGCTTGAACTTGCCTTTGGATTAGCAGAACCTGAGTCAGTAGTGTCCTGGGTCTTTGCCTACGGGAGTCTTCGGCAGGGCGTCTCCTCTTACTTCAGTGCTCTAGGTCAGCCCCTCCGTACAGGTTGTTCTGGGTTCTTCCCAGCTCCTTCTAGCCTCTGAGATGCCAATCTTCCTTTTCCAGTCCTGCCTCCAGCTACACCAGTGGCTGGTTCTGTGTATCAGTCTCCCCAGGGACACAGAACCAATGTTATAACTTTATTATCCTTTTCTCATTATATAAAAAAAAAAGTTCTTGGCAAAAAAAACCCCTCTTTTTTTTTAAAAGGTGAAATACCACTACCCAAAGGAAATCATCATAAAATTTTAGTTCCTTTCACAGTATTTTTCTCTGAGAGCGAAAAAAAGGTTTTTTAAACTAAGCACATGGTGGTATAATTCTGCGTAATGAAACTTCATGCCTGCATAAGGTATTAAAAATAGTCAGGTACCCCTCATAGCCTCAGTATGCCTTCTTCCCCATAGCTTTAGCTTTCCTACAACCCCAACTATGATTTAATCACATTCGACCTTGCCCACCTGGAATCCTTCATCCAACCAATGGGATTTCACGGGAAGGGCTGCTTACCACAGAAGCCACTTCCCCGGCCTGGCCAGGCAAACGCTCCTATAGAGGCTCAAAACTCTTATTTTCCAGACGGGACAGCTGAGAAAACTCTCTCTAGGAGCTCAGGGCCTACTAAATAAGGGTGTAACACAGCGATCTGAACCCCTTTATCGTTCTCCCTATCTCATCTTTCCTTTCAAATACAGTCATTAGGAAAGTATTTTGTCATCTATTAAGAACCAAATAAATTTAAGGAATTAGTATTAATAATAACCATCATATTTTTCTTGTTTGTATATGCATGTTTATGGGCAATTTAAATCCGTTGTATAAACATACTCTTAATTTACGTGCATTTGAAGGTGTCCAGGAGGCGTTGGTAACATACAGGTGGCCGGGGACCCTACCCTGGGGTTTCTGATTCTGGGACATGGGCCGATAATTTGCATTTCTAAGTTCCCAGATGCTGCTGCTGGTCAAGGACCCCACCTTAAGCACCACCGTTCTAAAAAGGGGTGGGACTTTATATTTAGGCCTTCTCTGCTGAATATTCATCAGTTTATCCACTCATTCATGTATTCACTCATTCAACACCCATCGGTTCAATTCCTACTCTGTGCCAAGCACTTTGCCAGACAGTGGGAATAGGTAGATGGATAAGACACAGTGCCTTCAGGAGTTCATGGCCTTTTGAAGGACACTTACAATTAAATCAACATTTACACTACAGTGTGACAAGTGTGACAATAGAGATATGGCCAGGGTGCTCTGGGAGACCCAGGAAGGGCATCAGGGAAGGCTTTTTTTGAGGAGGCAATTGGGCTATAGGTGAGGAGGTCAGAGGGGTCAGTAGGGGGCTAGAGCCAGATAAAGAAAAGCCTATATAGTAAGTTGAGGGGTTTGACCTTTCCCCTGAAGGCCATAGGAAGTCTCGGAAGGTGATTTTATAAAGGTCGGGCAGTACGATGCTGAGCAAAAGTAGGGGATGCGGCACCCAGGTTCAAATATTGACCACGCCACTTGTATGACCTGGGGAAAGTTACTTAACCTTCTCAGAGCCTCCCTTTTGTCATGTGTAAAGGGGGAAATAGAGTCTGCCTTATTTAGGTGTTGCAAAGATTAAGAAAAAGTACCTAAATGCCTGGAATCTGCTAAGTGTTTAAAAAATGGTGATTATGGTCAGGTTTGAACTTTAGAAAGCTAAAGACAGGGGCGCCTGGGTGGCTCAGTCGGTTAAGTGTCTGCCTTCGGCTCAGGTCACGATCCCAGAGTCCTGGGATCGAGCCCCACGTCAGGCTCCCTGCTCAGTGGAGAGCCTGCTTCTCCCTCTCCCTCTGCCTGCCTCTCTGCCTACTTGCGCGCTCTCTCTCTCTCTGTCAAATAAATAAATAAAATCTTTAAAAAAAAAAA